GAGGTTGAACGAGTCTCCAACGAGAGGCTCAGTCAGATATACCCTAGCTTTTTTCGCGACCGTGTTCTCGGACTCTATCGGTGTTTTCCTTGAGAGTAGCAATGATCCGTGAAGCGAGATTCTTTTCCTCATCTTGCAAAGCACTTCATGCGGATGTCCGAGTCCGATACATATGCGAGGTTTCCGGGAAGCTGGAGAGTGAAGCTTCTAACGCTGATTTCGGAAAGGCGGCGCGAAGGCTGCGTTGCATCTATCCCGCGAAGGAGAACGATTAGGTGTTAGTAGTTGATAAATAACAGATCACGTATACACATTTAGAGTTATATCACATGATCAATGGTCGCATTTGCATCCACTGCTTGCGTCAATTCTCCGTTTGCGTCCAATCTTCGCAGCGAGCTGAAATATTTGAACTCTGCAGCGTGGTACCGACGAAAGCTTTTCCCACAGTCTTTGCACCCGCAGTTTTCGTTCGTCTCGTGGTAGCCCCCGGACAGACATTTTTTGTGGTGAAATCCATGTATCGCGAATCGGGTGATGAGATCTAGATTTTTGCGGTCGAGGCCCTTCCATGTATCATCCGTCATTGCGCGGGTGCTGAAGAAGTCGTCGTCTCTGTCGGCGAGCTCCCTTTCCGATGTTTGGAGACACTTCCCGTACGATACGCTTTAGACTAGATTGAATTGTTTCTGGAGATCCTCAATGAACAGGCTCGTGTCTGCTAGGCGGTAGACCAATCTGTTCCTGGAGGATCGGTGAAGTCCCATCACTCGCTTGAGGTACTCGACCTTGTTACGGTTTAGGTCCTCTAGATTTACCTCACTAAGGTCGTTCCAAATGATCTGGATGCCGCACGATGCTGTGGGCGCGATGGTGAGGTTGGACAGACGAATGGCCGTCTTCATGGAATCTTCCTGCGTTTCGCTTGAAGTGAATTCGAGAGTCCCTGCCTCAGCGGAGCTCGAGAAACGGACACCACCATGGTGGAAATCAAGGGATGCCCTCGATTCGCGCGATATCGGACCGGAGACACGGCGGACACCAGCGCGAATCTCTCGGATTGGCAGAGCATTGAAACTGATTGATGCTAGTCACGCCTGTCCCGTGAGATCAAATCCGAGTGGGAGGGCGATCTACGATGCGGGAACTTCCGCCAGGAGCCTCGTTGCTCTCTTCAAAAAAGCTCGGAGTTTTTATTAAGTAAGCCAGATCGGTTGCGATGAGGTTCTGTCTTTCGAATCCGCCTCATCGAGATCTCCTCCTCCGACAAGGAAGGTTGCTCTTGAAAAAGAGAGGTTTCGATACGTACCGCGAATGATTTCGCTCGATAACTCCCCGATTTCGGGGTAGCCCATGACGGGAGCAGGTTTGCCTCGCTAAAGTCATGGAACGCCCCTCTTGCCGAAATGCCGAAAAGCTGAAGCAGGCGCGCTCTCCGTGGCAATCACATGCCCAGTGTAGAAGGTCTTCCGCTTGTGAACAGTTGCAACTTTGGACGACGTGGTTAGGAAAGCATTGAAAGCAAGATCATTCCTCTGCAAGTTCGGGCAGAACGCTGATTACGCTTCGGAGTGCTCAGGTTTGCGCTCTGATTATCATCCTTTGTATATCATTCGCCGGATTGGCCGCTCCGAACGTTGTCAGCTCGAAGCGATAGCGAAATGCGATTGCCGAGCCCTTGGACAAACCTGCAAACGTGTCATGGTGTTCCGGGCGCGTCGATTGGCCCGGGAGCGCAGTGCCAAAACAAAGGCTAATGGCTTCTCCGAAAGCTAACTCGACAAGGCAGGCTTCTGCCGAATGCCCATCTCGACGTGTGGAGCTCTGAGTGAGATGAGACAAACACAGTGGGGACAGGTGAAATGAATGACCGGCTCTCCGGGACACTCTCTTTCAAATTCAGTTCTCTTTTCTCCGGACGTCATCTTCAGGCTAGAACTGCTGTTTTAGGCTAGATCTTACCTTGAAGAATTGCATATCTGCCTGCGAATTCCCGAACTGACAGCTCCGAAGCGAGGACGATTGTGAGAAAGAGTTGGAACGTTCTCAGAAAGGCTTCAAAATAGGCCAACCTCAGGACGGGCCTCGGGGCTCAAAATACCAGCTTCGAAGCTCGTGGACGTCTTGAAAACGAGCCCGAAAATCTCGTTTCTCTGGGAAACTCGCGAATGACGGAGGAGGAGTCTCGATCGATATCTTGACCAATCGGGTCGAAATATTTTCTTTCCGCAGATTCACTGATAATCGAGACAATGCGTCCGTCGGCGAACATGGAATATCCCGTCGTGCTTGGCAAAGATGCCCGATAAGCATATCGATGATTTGAATAGACGATGACAGTCGACCAGGGCGCGGCTCCGCCAGGATGAGAGAAAAGAGGAAAAGACACGTCAGCCTGTCCTTCACCGAGTTACGATGACGATGTTTCCGTTATATGAGGTGGTAGCTCTCGTGTAGAACGTGTGTCCCCGCTTTAGGCGTGATGTCCGCCGGCGTGTGCCGTTTGACCGAGAGAATGGCGTACCAGCCGCTTAGCGGCCTTCGGTCAGTAGGGTGGCGAGCATGTGATGGGCTGCGTGGCAGCACGGCACTCGCTAAAAATATTTGGGGAATCATTCAAAATCAGGGTCATCGGACGGGAATGCCCCGAGGAGATGCAGGGTACCGCCCTGAATCAATATCGCACATCCTCCTCCACAGAACCAGAATCGAGCTCAGGGGATCAGCTTCCGGGGGGTAAGGGCGGGCTCGAGCTCCTCTCACGGAAGACCGTCCTGACTTCCGCTGACGCATGAACGGCACATTGGATTCCTTCGACATTAGGTTCAGATCGAGTCTCTCGACTCGAATGAGAATAGGCAAAAGTAAGAAATGTTCCTCTGTGGATAAATTCCGCCAGATAAGTGAACCAGGATAATTCACGGGTTCGTCATTCCCCCGGAAAGTATCGATTCTCCTGTTCCTGTAGTCAGCCAGGTCGCTCACGAGGAAGACCGACGCCGGGCTTCTACGTCGCTCGGTCACCTGGTCTCGCTTTTACGCACGAAAGGACTCTCTTTTAAACTCGCTCCTGAAATCTTTGTCAGCTCTGGCGTTTTCCTCGGAGCTACTATTCCCACCGCGAGCCTGTGCGTATTCCACAACGATTATGTGAGAGCCGTTCTTGGTGTTTGTGCTTGGTTCTGACATCGACTGGGATTAGTGGCCATAATCGACTGGGGCACAGGAAGGTGAGCTGTCCATCAGCCTCACCATCAGCTCGCTAGCCGACTTGTGAATAATCACGTATCTTGCACTCCTCAAGCCGGTAGAGCATCATTCCGACGTCGCTGCTAGAACGGCTCAGAACAGACTGACGTCAAAGATGGCGGAGGGAGATAATCTACTTCGCTCACGCCTGATACTTTCCGAGTCGCTCTTCTCGCTGCGACGACCTCTCCAGCTCCTTGTGCCGACTTTAGATGCTCCTCATCGTCGTCGTTACGTACATCTCCATCAGCACCAGCTCGGTCTGAGGTCCCACTAAGTGTGTAAGCAGAGAATTCCGATCCTGGGCAGGGTCTCGGCTAGTCGACCGAGTCCTGAGTCACTTACCCCGCAGCCACGTAACAAGTTGAGCCAGCTAGCTTCCAGGCTAGTTGCTGACTCCTTGTCATCCACTGCTTGAACTTTTCTAGAATAGCACAGACGACGCTACTGCTGCCGTCTCTCGCAGAGACTTGCCGTCGGTTGTTGGATCCCCCGTGATAGAGGATCCGTCGCCCGTTCCCAGCTGGGAGAGTTCGGGACTCCCCCCGACCAGGGTTAGCTTTCGGCTCCAAGAGGAAGCGAGGCCTCGGCCTCAGCCTCCTACTGCGACTTTATCTGGGTGAAATATCCGACTAACAAGTACTCCTTAGGCAGTAAGACTAGCAAGGGGGTCGAACGTTCGCAGATGAGTCTAGTCTAATAGATCGGTAATTATCAACTCTACTGATGATTAATGATATCCACATCGATCGGGAGCGCTGCAACAGAAGCTGGCCCTTCCACAGGTGCTTCGGATCGATCCGCGGCAACTAGGACGGAGACGCTCGCTTGTCAAGAGCAGGCAGCTGTGCTCGTCCGGTAACTCTTTTGTCTACAACCGACGAAAGTTTTGTGCCCTCCCGCTGTTCCAAGCAACCCTTGAAACAAGCGATACCGAGTACTCATATGATTCGGGGAGGATCGATTCTGCTCCGCTTTTTGTCGAGCGTGTTGTCCGCCACCACGTCGCTTTACTAAGCACTCGCTCCGATTCCGGTGCTTGGTGGGAATGTTCGATCGATCCGATCTGGGAGAGGAGTTTGGTGAGACGATCTGTCGTCGTACTGCAGCCTGAGAGATATTTCAGAGACAAACTTAGACGATGAACGAGGAATCTCCCCGGATAGCCAGCCTCCCGTAATTTCGCGAATCGAGCAGGGAATGCCCGCGCTCCGCAGATGCATGATGAAAATTAATATTTTTCGGCGTTTGCTCGGACGAATTTGTGTTCCGCGAGTGGGTACTCCATTTCCTTCGTCGACAGAAGCGTCCTCAAGAGTGTCGTGCTACGAGAGACTTCCAATTTAGCGGCTAGCTGAGAATCCTGGACGTAGTTGGGGAGCATTCCTTTGTGAGTTAGGTTGAAATTCTAGCGTTCCCCGAATGGGGGCTCAGATTCTGAGAATGCGCATTCGAAGATCCTGAGCCAGTGAGTGATTCTCGGAATTTTCCACGACATTTCGAGAGCAGCTCTTCCCGTCTGCCGAATAATTATCGACCGGGAACGAGGCTTCTAGAACATTGCGGGTTCCGTGGGGACGTTCCGGGTGCTGATGGAGTCTCGGCGCGAAGAAGCTTCAGGAAGCGACAATGAATCACGTGGTCGTCGGGATTTCCTCCGTGGTCGGGAGACGTTGCGTTCGGCGGTCTTGCTCTTTTTGAGCGGCAGCTAAGAGGCACAAACTCAATGCGTGTGTTTTCTTCTTTTCCAGTGGCCGACTTCACGCAGCAACTGTCTTCACTGCACGAACAGCATGCCGAGGAACTTCAGCTTCTGGTCGAGTCCTTCAGGAAACGAAATGCCGAGCTCCGGAAGGAGAGGTACCGTGCCTTGTTCCCGGCGATTTTCCGAACACATGCATAGGTCCAACCCGCTTGTGTGTTATATAGAGCGAGCGTAACATCTACTCAAGACCTACGTCGCATGTTCCAGTGTATTGTTGTCCCGACCGCGCAAGAAATGTAATCCCACCTTCCAAAGGTATCCAATCGATCGCAGGAACAGCCGAGAACCTAGTCGAAGCTTTTTTCCTCTCTCTCATCGACAGCGAACACCGAAACGCACTACCGAGTAGGGAATGTGGAAATGTGACTGACATTCACCGTCGAACGCTATTCCGCATGTCCTTCCGAGGGAATGGCTTATGCAGCTGCGATTTGTTCACAACTCTTCACCCTGCATCCTGTCTTCCAGCTCGTCCGCTCCCTTGCCACCTCAAGAGGGAAGAGTCTCCCGGCTAACTTTTTAGAGGTCTTCAATGCGGTACTCTCCATCCCGGAACCTTTGTTTACCCTCATGCTCGATCCCTAAGCACATATTTTGGCAATTTCGTCTGAGTCTTTCGACCGAGAGGCCATCTCCGAACCGCTGGCCAAGATGTCTGAGCAATCCGTCAAACCCGAGGCAGCTGGAAAAACATTCTCCTCCGTCAATGCCGGCGCTGCGCTCCTAGTCCATTCGATTGACTTGATCCTTCCTGCGAGCTCAGGTTCCCCCCTTCATTCTTCATTTGCCAAACCCTGGTTTCATTGGCCTCCGTCGGCGTCGCTAGCGCACTCACTGCGCGCTTCCACTTGCCCTGGTCGGGCGCTTGAGAGCTCGGATCTGCGAGGAGAAAAAGAGATCGCATCGAACTCATATTTCGAGAGGAGCGAGAAGCAACCGAGAGGGCTTTCATTCTTATTTTTGGGATTTGATCGTGATCATTCTCATTTCTCAATGGTGATACATTTCGCCTGCATCCAACATACCTTACATGAGCCTCAGAGAACGACGGAGCGCTCCGCGCCATAGCTCATCGGTGAGGGCTCCATTCGGAGCTCAGGAACCAGACTTGAGGTCGAAGGAGAACGAATGAACGGACGCACGGGGAGAGGGGGTAAACATTGACAAGATGGAGCCGTACCGAACATTTCTATCGAGAGAAGCGATGTCATTCCTCCGGAGGCATAGGTAGTGAGCAGCGGCTGTAAGTAAATCGTTAATCCAATGAACGATGGCGCTAATCGAGGAGCACCTACCTAATACATAATTCACGAGATGTCCGGACAGCCGGAGATGATGCGGGTGGATGAGTGATCTCCCATACGAATGAGTTCTAGTCGCTATCTTACCGTTCGCAATTCCTGATGCGATGGCAAGTGTGCATGTGAGTGGATAAGCGAAGTTTATTCGGAAAGCTTTATCTCTCCTCTTAGCATTACGCAGATCGAGACTCTTTCAATGAGCCGGCTCGTCCAGTCATCGGCACGTCACTCCTTCAAGTGGTCACTGGTTTGTCGTTTTAGTTCTTCCCTGATTCGAGCAGCGCCGCACCATAGTATGAGGTTCGCTGAGCCTTGACCCCTACTCGATCGCCTACTCCACGCAGCGGTCAAAGTGGGCGGAGAGCCGGTTAGAGTTGGTCTCGCGTTGCTTCCCGTGTCCTCGAGCTCTTCCCGTTTTCTATCTCTGCGCTACTTGTGCACTTTCTCATTTCCTCCCCGTCCGTCGATTCGCTATTGCCATGAGCCCAGACTTTCGGCAGAATTATCTGTCTCCTCCTGAGAGAGCGGTGCACGAGCGACCGGCCGTCCCGTCCACCTGGCTAGATCTCCTCCTTTGAAGGAAAAATCATAAAAATAAGAGAAGTGATTCGGAAGGCCCCTGGATCCGCCCCCGTGGGGACGTGCTGTGTAAGCGCTTATTTGAGAAGAATCTTCGGTGCGACAGGGACAATCAGTTTCTTGGGAGATTCGCGAGCTCAAACAAAGGTGATACTCCGGCCGATGAAAAGAGCGCCTTATCAATCACTACGGTTCATTCGAGCTTGTAGACTGCAACTTTTGTATCCTGTTTCGAAATCAAGGAAAGCTCCGCGCACCGCCTGGTCGCGCAATCGGCACTCGTTTGAGCCGTAATTGAGCAGCTCATGCGCAGGGCCCGGAGCTTGTTGATGTTTTGAAGTCCTGCGATACGTCACGACGTCTGACACGCACTCGAGGGAAAATTGTATACTGTTCAAGGTACTATAATTGCGGTACTCCTCGCCTCTGGAGTGATTTTTATTCTTGGTCGAGGAGAGGCTAGTCGCGCGCTCACAGCTCAACGATTTGGCTGAGAAAAACGCTGAACTCAACGTTTCCGAAGAGCTGTTGTGAAGGATTCTCCCTCCCATCGATAGAATACTCATGGCCCTTCGATTGGGCATGTCATAATTATCTCTCACTTCTCATCGTCAGAGAGTTCCTCTGAAGCTTTCTCCACCGCGGGGATGGATCCGCCTTCGAGGAATCCGGGAGTTCTTTACGCATAGATTTCATCCAGGACAAGATTTGGCTCCAGCTCATGAGAATATCATCGATGGGACGAGCCCTTCTTCGCCTATCCATCTGTCTGTCTGCCTCTTCGTTCGATCATCTGTCCGGCCGTCGATTGATTCCCGTGTCCGTTCATCCGGCGACGAAGCTTCTGCCCGGCGATCATATGCAAACGTAGCTCTGGCGCATGACGAGTTTCTCTGAGCATGGACCCTGAGCGAGGTATTCCGGAGTTTTCGCGAAACTGACAAGGGTGACAGCTCGAGAAAATTGATGAGAAGCTCCCTTTGAGAAAAGAATGGATGTAACAGAGATATCGGTATAGTGTTTTGGGGGAATCACTCGGCTAGATTCCCCTGGTGATTGGAATCATGGAGGAGCTCATTCGGAGCTGCACCTCCCTCAAGTGAGTGTCCGAGTACAAGATGATTCGGACCGCAGAGTAGGGAAGGCACAACCCGTGGGAGTTTCGGAGACGAACGCTTGCATCCGATCCGCCCGACGTATTTTCGATCGACGTGCCGCAGTTGGTCGGTGAGCGACGGAAAGCCTTTTGGATGAAGGTCATCTCGTCGGAAGCGATCTCCAAGGGATACGTGTCGTTCAGTCACTCATCATTCACATTCGAGTGATTCACTCCGCAACGAGCTCTGTTCGTCCTCTTGTCAGCACCATAACTTCGATTGCCTGTTCTCGCAGGTCTGCCGCGCAGTAATGTCCAGTTTTACAGCCAATCTTTGGGGCCAATAAACTCGTCAAAATAAAAGCTCGATTAGAGCGGTGCGCGTCTTTGTGATTACCTCCTCGTTATTACGTTATGAATAGCTGAATTTCCCCGCTGATACAAGTATAACAGTCGTTATCCGCACAGCTTACCTAGTGAGCGGGCGGTGCGGTCGCCTCCGCGGAAGCGCGACCAGAGGAAGACAAAGGAGGCTCTGAGCGTGAAATAATCAGCTGCCATGGAAAAAGGTCTGCGTCCCGCGGACGGATCCCTGATCCTGGCTCGCGGTCCCTTACGGAAACGGAGCCGTCCCTGTGTTTTGCTGGAGAAGCGATTCGGTGGAAGTTCTCAGTGAGAGACAGAGCATCCGACAACCAGGAGCTAGATACGTACATGTATATCCGGGCGAAGAAGCCGACTTGCACGCTGGGAAGCTCAGAAATAATACTTGTTTGTGTGGATGAATGTACCCCATATCCTCCGTGCAGCATCCGGAATCCCGATCGCCCACATATCGTGCGAAAGCAATAGATCTAGCAGCTCGCAACATCTCGCACGCTCAGCGGAACGTCCTTGAATTGGATCTCGATCCACAGCGGCCGAAATGCAAAGCCCGATCCGGCTGACAATATATACCGATCTGGTGCCCATCGATTCGGCAACTTTCCTCCTCCGTGAACGTCCGTACTTGGAGCTGAACACTTGGATGAAGCTCTCGGACGTACGACACTGTAGTCAACTTGGCCGGAGATGTGGTCGTAGATTTAGGGTCGTACGCCGGGGGGGATCTGTTGCCCGCTCTCAAGTGGTCCCTTCGTAATGCTCCAGTACAGTAGCGAATCGCCATACTGGATTTCAGTCCCATACCCGATCTAGCCCCCGCTAGAAAAATCCTGTGGACGCCACTGCGTCTATTCCTTACTAAATTTAGGAGCAAATACTTTCTGGCTCACCCGTCAGGCCTCTGTATTCATCTTCGAAGAATCGGCTCGTTTATACTAGTAGTGGTAGAATCCGATCAGAAGGGTGGAGGGGAGTACAGCTTGCGATTCCCAGGGTTCTCCCTTTCCAAGTGTCTGTGGAAGAGCGGATTCAAATCCGTGTTCCAGTGTTTCTCGGGGCGGAAACCATCAAACTCAGAGCCTTCATAGCGTAACTCGGGTTTGCGACTGTACATTCAATGCGTTCCGGGTTCCAGGCCCATGTGGTCTGGAATTTCGTCAACGTGGGCTACTTCTCGCTCAGGAATGTTTACTTTCCAGCCAGTTTCGATCGAGATCGCTTCTGCTGACTCGGACTTAAACGATTGAAGCTTCGACCGGCCAGAATATGTAACGGCAAGCAGTCGATGCGGGGTTTCAAGAATCCGAAGGTCGCTATTCTGTGAGCTCTGCTCCCTTTGATCTCCTTCGAGATCAATATTTTTCACCCCTAAGTGTATTTCCCCCACCCCCCATTTACTCCCGGCTCCGAGAGCTGGGATGATCTCTTTGAGAACTTTCCCCGAGATCCGCACAAAGCAAAATCAGCTCCGGGCGACGACTCGTAGCGAAACTCACCTCAATCCACACTGAGAGGGGAAAATACTTTTCGAGACGTCTCGGTTGACTCCGTTCCTTCTACACGTTCCCCAGGACTCGATGAGCTTCATGGAGGTTACGTGAGAAAAATCCAAAGAAGATTCCGAAATGTTTCGTAGGAGCGACGCGACGACGACTACCGCCAGTCTCCTTAATTGTGCGGCTGCGTCACCGAATCGTCATTGATCCCTCTTTTCTGGGACGATCAGCCGAACGCTCTCGGCGCGTCATGAGGCCGAGATCGCAGTGCCGACCGCCGACCAATCCTTATCCACCCCCGACGATCTCTTCCTCACTGAATGGGCCGCTAAGTGCATGTCTCTCCAGATTTCGGTAGATTGTCGTATATCCGGATAGTTTCCCTCTGGCTTGGATTCATCGCTTGGAGTCGCTTGGATAGATTCGCTTGAGAAGTTTGTGCAGCAGCGGCTGCGAAGAATCTTGGGAGCGGAGTCCCTACCAAGGAGTCTACAGTCATTTCTCGATTTAGTGAACACCTCCGGGGAACGAGATTTTGTTCACTAAATCCTGGGGTTCACTAAATCGCGAGACTCCATTTTTCTGACCATTGAGCTCGAATTCGCCCGGAAACACTTATGAAAAGGAACAGATGTCGAAATCTATTTGGGGAGTCGAAAAAAGTTTGGTTTTGCGGTAGGATAGAATTCCGGACGCTCCGAGCCTCAAAGGCAGGCGTCATCGATTGAGAAGAATTGAGGAGGGAGGAAAGAGAGACGTCGCAGGGTCTCGACTGTCGTATCGGCTGCTATAGTATCAGATGAACCACTCGTGCCGCAGCGAAGCTGTTTTCGCTGTTTTGTGCTAGGCCAGGAGGAGACTCCGCCTTCAAAGTTGACTGAATCGGAAGAAATGCGTCGCGGGACCCAAAGAGCGCTTCACTAAACCGCGAATTCCACTGAATGCAGATTGTCTAAATCGAGCGGCTCCAACATTAGCTGTCCATAGATCGAAGCCGGGACTCAGAGTCGAGTTCTCTAAATGGTGATTTTCACTAAATTGGTAGGTTACTAAATCGAGCGGTGACTGTACATGTAGAGTAGCGGCTGTATAGGCAATCTATTTTCACCCGAGACCCACAAGAATCATTCCTCTGCCACTATCATCGGAACGATCAGGCATGCCACCTGTAGAAATTGGATGTACTGCATCGATGTTGACATTTTAATCAGAGAACACATTGTCGAGTCTGAGCGACTTCGACCTGAGTCGCTAGCTGCAGAAACTCAACGCATAATGTCCGCGCATTTTTTTCTCCCATTCAAGGCCGACCCACACGAGCAGCTTGTTCAATTGTTGGGAAATACTTCTTCAAGAAGTTGAAGTTGACTCTCAAGTTCATGGAGACATCGCACGCTCCCTGAGCCAGAACGTAGGAGTTATGCTGCTTGAAAAAACCTTCTTCCGCAAGATTCAATCACGAAAGATATTTTCGCATCGCGAATCCTTCGAGACCATTTTGACCAAGGCCGAAGAACTTCTCTCCAAGGTAAGAACGATTCCTCCTCGCCACCTCCCTGAAACCCGTTAGTTGGAGATATGAACTCAAATTGGCACTGCGGCGCCGCTGCTCTCCACCGTGCCATACGAAAAGTCCATATCTCAGCGAATGAACTTGTAGACTACATGGATGTCGACCATGGTGAGCATATTGGCTGGTAGGTCGGACGGTTGGCAATCGAGCTGGGAGCCAAACAGAAGCATGCATCCATGCAACGAGGCCGCATACCATTGGCGATCTGAACTCTGCTTGCGATTCCAGTGCCACGATGACTACAGTGTTGCATACGCTGCCTTTGCGCAAAGTCGGAGCCCTCAGAAACTGGCAGATTACTACGATGCACATAACATGTATGTGCAGCAGTTGCACGCAACCAATGGCATGATAGACCAATACTACACCGTGACTCTGCCGAAACTCCTCGAAGAACTGGAAGACGTGAGTAAAGTATTCCCCTCGGCAGTTTATCGCTGGAGCGCCCCTCCTCCGAGAGTCGAGAATTTCCCTCGGTCCGGGTTCTCTCAGGCTCGAAACCGACACTGAAAGTCCCTAACCTCTCCCGTCAGGTGTACTGCGATCTCAGCAACACGATAGCGAACTCGATTCTATCCGCTACAGAGCTGCTGTCTTGCAAAGCGCAGGAACAAGCGGATCATTACAGTGTGGTCGGATCCGCGTGTCGCAACGTCAATAGCCGCGCGGACCTTGCCAACTTTGTACGCACACTAAGTGTGGACCGCAGTAGCTCTCGGCAACATGTACGGCATCAATTCCAAATACCGAAGGATTTCCATGAGACCGACCCATCGCAGCCCCTTGTGAGTATGAGAGATCTCGTTGTGCCCAAGCACGCATACAAAAATCTTCCACGTTCCACAGAGGCTCCGAGTGTGTTAATTGTGAGAATCACGAAATACTCGTTGCAACGATTTCAATCGAGTTTTGAATCGTGGAGTTCTGAGAAAACTCTGACTTTCCATTGTTCGTTTCATCCATGGAGACTCGTCCCGGCGCCCGGTGCACAAAACGAGTTGTTCAGAACAGAGGCCGAGCTGTCTACGTAGGAGAGCGTTGAGCCACATCAGTTGAGCTGGAGCCAAGATTAGTCGCTTCTGTGACAGTAATGCTCATACCCTGGGGATTGCTACCGCTTCGGGTTCCAGCAGCTCGAAATTGCTCAACTCTGTTGATCGGAACTAGGTACTAGTATTCACGGAAGGAAAGATTCCAGAGCTGTCTTGTGAGGTCTCGAAATTTCTGTAGGAATAGATAATGAGAAATAGTGAGCTCCGCTCGATGGTAGCACCGCTTAAGGGGATCCTTTGCTCGCTCAATCGGATCGCTCGCGAAGAGTCCCGATCAATCGGGCTCCATTGATTTAGGCTCCGGAATATCGGACCCTGCCTTTATTCGGATCAAAATTTCCTGGTTCCAACATGTTCCAATTCGGCGGAGTTCACTATGGACGTAGGAACGTCTTGGGGAAGGTTTGGAGAGTCAGGATACAAGCGGGAGAATATCCGCCGCTGAACCGTCGCGACGCGTCCTCCGAGAAAAATTCCTTGCTGCTTTCCTCCCCGCGCTTGGTCTCCCAATGTGAGGTATTTTCGAGAGATCATGGAATCTATTTACCTACTTCATCTCGCTCCACCTCTAATATCCATGGTGGGTGACAAGGGGAAAAAGGGGAACCATGGATGATTTCATAGGGTGAACAAGCATCGTAGAATGCTGGCCGCCCCTCGACCTTTTCGCGACGGTGAGCAAGGACGTTCGGGCGTCGACTTGTTGAAGTTCTGACAAGGGGTAAACGATAGAGACGTCGGAACACCCGAAAGCAAGGGCCAAAAGAGAGTATTCTATTCCAAGAGTCATTCGTCAAAGATGGGGTTTCTAGGTCAGCGCCCCGCCAAAGGGTCGCACACAGCCCCCTTGACTTTGGTTTTCGGATTTCCATGCGGAATTAGAAAGGATTGCGACTCATTGACCGCTCGCGCCTCAGTCGTGCCATGGTTTCGGCGGCGGCGGGGCGAGCCGCCACGCGGACCCGCGGCCGAATCGGGCTACCGCAGAGCGTGGGATTCCGAAAGCTGTCGCGCCGCCGCACGTTCGAGCTCCGAACGAATGAATGCGCGGAATTGATTCTCTTTTTCATTTCCTCTTGGAATGACGGTCTAGCTCAATTTCCGGGAAACATGAGACAGTACTAGCCACGTGTCGGCCGGAGATGTCTCCCGTAAATCGGTGAGATGGCATTCGGGACCCTCGCTAACTCTAAGCCTGTGGGCTCCGGACGGCTCGGAGTCGACATGGATCTCGGTCGGCCTGTCACTCGGGCAGGCCACCGGCGCCGCACGCCTATCAGCTGCCGATATTTTGGAAACTCGGCGAGCCTCCTGCGCTGCATACGACTTACGAGGAGAAACTCAAGTCGACAGTGCTCACTGTCAAGAAGCCACCGTCGAACACCGCGAGGATCTCTCGCGGAAGACAGTTACATCGAAGGCTCGGACTTTGATTCCACGCGAGAGAAAATACGCACACAACCATGGCTCGCAACAACGGTCGAGAATCCGACCGACCGGTCGGACGCTCCTCTATTGCCTCTCGAGCACCGATTTTTCCCACCTGACAGCAGACAGCTAGAGCTCATTCGGAAGTGCTATTCGCCTGTGTGAACTCGCAAAGCTGATCGCCAGGCTTCTTTGATCAGCTTTGACGGCCCGCTAGCCAACGGGCAAATCGAAATTCAGAGGATCGTTTCCTGCGTCTGCTCCTCGGAAAGATCCGATGGAAGCTTCGAAAGTTTGTCCCTCGTACCATAGTGAGCTCCCCTCCGATCAGTGACTACGTGTGAGCTCGCCCGGTCCCTGGAATATTTGGGTCGCCGCCTTAACGAAGGTTTCGATAATGATCATTTGGGTCTTCCGCATTCGACCGAGATGACTTCTGACGTTTCATCGATCGCCCTCCGTGTCGGGTCGTGACGTTTTTCTCTGATCCTCAGGACTCGTACCAGACTCTGGGCGACCAAGTGATCGTGGACCGTTTAGCTCAGTTGCAGTTGCCGACACGAGCGGAAGCACTGCGCAGTGATCTACAGGCACTCGATGTGCAGGTGCGTCAGCTGCAAGAAGCTCTAGATTCCCTGGGTCGACTACAGCAGAGGTGTGTATGATACTTCCCGTTTCGATAAGATACGCTCTGATTGTCAAGGGATTCCCCGCTTCTGCTCAGTGTGATGTCTCGAGCTTTGAAACGGGCACTAAATATTTACTCTCCGCGTCACAGGAGTATCGAATCTAACCTTTTCAACAAGGCCAACGAGCTCCAAGAGGATATGTGTCTGAAAAGATTCGATCTTCAAGTCGCTCAAATTCATCAAGCTGCTGTTCGAGCCCAGCTAGAGCTCTTCCGAGGTAAGCTGGACGGATTTCCCGATCACAGCGGCACCGCTCCAAGTCAATCTCAGCAGCAGGCCCAGGATGCTACCGTGAGTATACATACATACATACATACATACATACATACATACATACATACATACATACATACATACATACATACATACATACATACATACATACATACATACATACATACATACATACATACATACATACATACATACATACATACATACATACATACATACATACATACATACATACATACATACATACATACATACATACATACATACATACATACATACATACATACATACATACATACATACATCAGCCTGATGGACAAAAAAAATAAGGTAATTAGCCGCTCAGGAGCGATACTCGCCGAGAGCGATACTCGGAGGTAGGCCGCCCGATAACATCCTAGCATTGCCGCGTTGGACCTCAACAGACATACATACATACATCTGTCGCGCTCATTGCTCGAATGCGGCGACCCGCGGCTCCGACGGGAACGAATGATAGTCTCTATGTCAAAAACCGTTGGCCGAATTACGAGTCCCCTGTCTGATGGAACACGATTCTGATGCGCCGGATCATCTTCCGCGACAGCTTCTAGCAGACGGGAAGAATCGCTCGTGAAGCGATGCCCCCGAGTCCATCCGGCGACAGCTGCCTGCGCTACCCTAAGCTGTGGGATCGCTCCCTTCAAGACATACGATCTCAATAGGATTATAAGTCTTGTATTGTACATGAGAGGCATCGATGTCTGCGTGTGTCGCGCATGCGTACAACAACTGATGGCTCCTCAGCTTGCCTCCACCATGATATAGCTTCGGTGACCAAGCCTCAGGCGAGTGAGCCACCGGAACACTGGAACGAAATATCATGGCAGAAAAGGAGCCACTCTTGTTAGAGCCACCTACCAACATCGAGGCACTAAGAGAGCTTTTTTCACTACTACTGATGAATCGTCACCTCATCAGTCTCACATGGATTTCCAACCCTGCCCTTGTGCCCTCAAAAAAATGATAACGATTGTATCGCTGGCGGCTAAGTTTTCCCCCAGAATCCAGACAGAGCTTCTGCACGATGCCTCGTAGTTCTTCGGGTCCAGAGTTCGAAGATTCCGCCTTGAGCTTCACAGCGGAGCTAGCACCCGAGAGAATGCGCGGGAAATGAGCTGAGGGACTCTCTAGCCGCTGGGGAGGGATAAGGGCACGCACGAAGAGCCACAGGTTGTCTGAGGAGCGAAGAGTCTACGAATTTCGACGGATTTACATATCCATAACATAATTTCATATGATGATGGATGAGGAGATCCTCGAATGTCTAGGGGGCCCTAGAGTAGAGAGGATCGGGAAGCTTGACTGCAGACGATTCACTTGTTCGATTTCGATTCGCAGAGTCTTCGTGACGGCCGTGCTACAGGGAAGCCTCCCGGAGGGACGTACGGCACACAAATGGCAGCCCTTCAGGCAGCTGCCGCGGCCTTCCAACAGAACGCAAGCGGAGGCACCATCAAAAACAAATGGCTCAAAGCTTTCAGAAGCCTCAAAACAGGTGGAAACAGTGGGGCCTCTGATAAGTAAGTCCCTATACTGATGAAATCTTCCGTCGATCTTCTCGATTTATGAAGAACTCCGGGCAGCTGCGATTACACAGCCGTTTCTGGATCCGGTGACCTTGATACGACTCTGTCAGCAGCTCTCGATTCCGGAGCTTCTGGCGGTGGATTCGGGCGAAACAGTCTCATTGAATTAACTTCCCGGCCGCATGATATATTCTCGGCCGTCGCGTCGCGTGCTCCTGGATCGAAGAGAAATGTCCCGTGTCGAAGTATGAGCGTGTGGAAAGACGCCTTGTCAGATTTGGTGCACCGATTGCTCCGCAGGAATGTCACGATCGAGCGGCTTGCCCTCCGTGAACTTGTATTTCTCCTCCCGCCCCCGGAGCGCCGCTTCGATATTGAGGAAAAATCGCGTCCGACTCCGAGACCGATCCAATATCATAGTCCACTCCCGATCGGATTCCATAACCTTCGAGGCTGTCGCACCGCCCTGCCCCCTCATTCTTACCGACTCGAAAAAGACTTTGATAGTGATCCCGGAGCGGAACAAGATTGCATAACCTTCCGGTCGGATTTCGCGTTACTCGAGCGAGATCCAGACAGCGGATACTCCGCTGCATGTGTAATTTCCGATCCTTCCCTCTTCAGGCTTGAGGGCGGAATCGACAAGAAGGCGAAGTTGGCATCCTGGGACAGTGGACAGCATATCTTCCAAGAGTACACGTACAAGAAGGTGGCTGCATGCGATGTCTGCAGGGAGATCCTTCGGGGTCATGTGAGACAAGGCCTCAAGTGCAAGTTGTGTAAGATGAACGTTCACGCAGAGTGCCAGGACAAGGTACCTCGCTGTCAACCGAAACCGAGGCTGCTCAGGCGTCAAAGAAGCACGTCAGAGATCGAGAGCAGGATCGTAGTTCCCACCGAAAACGAAGACGAAAGTATGTACCTAATTCGGGCTCGCTGCGGAGGAACTTCCTGACGCAAACTGACCGACATATCTACGTCGGGACGTTTGGCCCCGGCTGCGTATCGGACTCATCTCGAGCGTACTCATTCCCCTCAGGACTACTGGCGATGAATAATGGTGATTGTGGATTAGGAGCGGGAATCTTTGGTGATCGAATGACGACGTACGGCGTCGGATGCGGCGCGGGAGGTAGTGTAGGGGGGCTCACCGTTGATCCCATCTACCAACTGCTCAAACAGGCGGCAGAGGTCGGCGGCGGCAGTGGAAGCAGCAGACTCAAGGAAAGCGGCTTGAGCTCCTCCGCAACCTCCTCGCAACGAGGTGACAACAATCTCCAGACGAGGCGACCTCGTTCAAACGCCTCCTCGACTTCGTCATCATCTCACATGCTCACTGTTTCTTCACACGCTCCTCACCACTCCTCCTCATCAGGTAGGTGTGAAGGGTGGTTTTTTCCAAGCCGGTGGAAACACAGTTTGCCGGAGGTCAGAACGGGCGCGAATGAAGATCGGATCGAGGAGGTCGCCTCCTTCGGGATCCGATGTGTTCGAAAATGTCGCAAACCCCGATACATGCCATTCGAACAAGTACCTCTGTGAGCTGACATCGCGGTTGACGTTATCAAGTGTAGTTAACCTAATCTGCATTCGGTGCTCGACATAATGTACCATACGTATCGATCCGTAGAGCTTTCGATGTGGCCTAAGCAGATCTAAACATTTTGTTATCGTCACGTTCTTGTACGAACATTAATCATCCTCCGGAAACAGCTCCGTGTCAGAATTCGGGAAAAGATCACATAGGATTCCACCGAATTATCCGATGCGGCTGGATCGGGAGGAGAGGAGGGCAGCTTCCTCTATCGGACTGGAGCATCCCCGATGCGGCTCGCTTCCTTGAGCCCGAACCTCGGTCCTCTCTGAATGAATTGGGTCGAATGGAGCTCATCTCGACCTTTTGCGATCGAGACCGCACCACAATCGCAAGCGGAGAATTGGAAGGAGATTCGACGCTTGTATACACGACGTAGGGCATGTGATGACTGATGCCGCGAATGTTCGAGTCATTCCAGTCCTCGATCAGAGGAGCATAGATCAATTCATGTGGTTACCTTCGCGTCCCAGATACTCTTATCGGAATCAATCGTTATCGAGGCTCGAACAATCGTCACCTCGAGGAAGTTAGAAGAGATTCATGCAGGGCTTGTGATCCATAAGTAGACGCCCCGCATCTCCCGATCGCCGCGGGGAGCTAACGCATCTGGCAAGTGGGCCGCTGCGCGTAGTACAACTCCATGGGGGAGCAGAAGACATCCGACTTCTCCTGCCGTCAAGAAGTTTGCACGGTCTTGTCCTCCCGTTTCCAAATCATTCCCCGTTGTTTTTCTTCAGTCCGTCACTCCCCCGGTCGTAGCCTGAGTGTATCCCCTGACCCTGGATTCCCTCTCTCTTCTGGGCGGCGCGAGACATCAGGAGTTTCTATAATGATTGGTTTGCCAACGCGCTTGCACCTTAGATGTTCCATAGATCGGAATTTTTACTCGTGGCATTTTCAGCCCGTCGCGGATAATTTTGTACGTTTTTCCTTCTCATACTTCCCGCGCCGGAGGAATACATAGATACATCCTCTCTCGAGAGTTCGAAGGGACCTCCGGAGGAGAGGCGTCCATCGGTAACGAATAACACGAGAAACTGTTTTTTCATGCTCGTTCCCGTCGCGCGAGTAGCCCTTGCAGATCGAAGGCGCCAGATTGTCTCAGGTATTTTTGGAATTTTTTGGAAGTCTCTGTCGCGGATTTTCCGCCCCTTTTTTTCTCTGACTCCGCTTTTCGTAACATGGTTTTAACTTGAGCCTCGATGGTTGCTCTTCACGATCACAATTTTTGCAAGCTCACACGCTAATTCCTCATCCACCCCCTGAAACTGCACTCCGCAGCCGATTACACGTGGATTCAGCTTATTTTCCGCGAAGATATTCGGCAAGGATGGCCGAATATCGACTTCCCAGAGCTTGAGCCTATGCGATGCCTTCCCCGTTATGCTCCTCTCGAGGATTTTTCTCTTACTGTTTGTTGGGGCTCTAGAATAAAAATAGAAGCGGCCGGAATGAGCAGTGCCGACTCCCGTGTGACTGTACGCGGTTTACTCGGAGGGGAGACCTCATTCGTCATCGAATTCCATACCGAATCTGACTTGAACACTAGAGTTTCCTCGATCGATTCATTTCCAATCCGGATCGCCGCTTCTATATCTACTGCGGACCTCTAGAGCTCGCATGGGGATGTTGTTTGAGCACTACGCGTCGCTTCCGTCCATTTGCTGCTGTTTGCCGAAACATCCATTCCTTAGAGCTCGGGAACGGCTCTGCTCAGGGCCACTACCCAGGAGCTCCTCGCACGCGAGACTTCAGCATCCCTCTCTATTTGTTTTCCCTCTTCTTTGTTCAACAAGTGACGAATCCATTTTTTCCCGGAATCCCATCCTGGAACTCGAGAACTTCTTCCCCGAGCTCGTTGCTCATTGAGTGCCTGGCAGCATTTCCGAATGGACATCGGATTTTCGAGGGTCGTTACTCGATCTCGTGAATGCGATTCCTGAGCGAAAGCATGTTCCACCGTCGATCCTGCATGCGACCGAATTTCATTGAAATACACCTCCGGATACGTACCTGCCCATGGTATTGTTGTTATTATCTCCTCTTTCCGTTCGTAGCTCCCCATAGTCCTCAGAGGAAGAGGCTGAATCTTCGAATGAAGTCGCTCTCGCTGGACTCACCGGATGTCAATGGCGATCCACTACACCGTCGAAGACAACAACAACACGGTCACCATGCGTCCAGCTCACACGCAGGCTCGCATAGCCAGTGTAAGTCTTTTCGCTGACGCGGGGGCGAAGTTCTACGATTGCCGCGAGGAAAAAAGGAGTACCGCCCATGATGGTGTGCATCGGTTCGCGTGTGATCTGCGAGCGATCGGCGACAAGTACCGCGATTGGAGCGGAATCGACGGCACCGGACGAAGAAGACGTCCAGTCGAAACGTCCAATGACCCGAATCGAGTCGGAATCCTCACAGCAACCCGGACATCGGGACAATCTTTCGGGATCAGATTATTCATAAACACATTGTTAGCTTCGATAGAGGTCTGATTCCCGATTTCCCGCTGGAGAAAAAGCTTCGGAACGCTGGTCGTGCGCTGCGCGTCGTTACCTCCCTCCCTCTAGTCGACCTCGACATCAAGGCCCCCTTTGACTTCACAAGGCCTCGTACTGGCTCAGAGCCCGTAGGTAGGTTGGCGGGTTCGTACATACTACTACGTACGATGACCTTAAGAGACTCTCGTGGCAACACAGCGGACTCACTTCAAAGGAACGATATATCCAACGCCGTCACAACTTCTGCATTAGGCGGAGCTCCATGACCAACTGAATCGAGGAAATGCGCTCAGCGTATTCTCGACGCAAAGTCGAAAATCCAGTCTCCGTGTCTAACGTACGGGAAGGGGGTTTCTCCCAGATGCTGCGTAGTTTTTCTCCTTGATCTACCCCGCAAGCCCAATGTCGCTCTCCCGGACTCTTTGTAACTCCACGCTTGGCTTTTATACAGCTCCTCAGAGCCCAGTGACAAACAGGCGGCAATTCTTGTCAGCGAAGACGGTCCGGATGAGTTCAGTGGATCTTCCAGACGACAACGAGAAGTCTTTAAGTAGTGCGTCGACATCGCCTTGCCCGTCACCAGTAAGTTATCGCGATATATGCATGAGTCGATGGACTTCCTCCAAGAGATATCCAAGCATCGATCAGTTGAGCTGATCATCGACCACGAGCTCGAGGGAGAGGATAATGTTCGAAGAGCACTATTTCATGACCGAGAAGCCCGAGAGGAACTCGGCGGAATCTCTGACGTCGATCGATCTTATTTCAGAAAACGCATCGATTGTTGCCCACCAATATCTACGTCGTTCTTTACGGGTTCCGGAGTAGACATCAGGACGAACTCGATCTCAAGTTTGTGCTCTTCCGCTTCGCATATCCTCCAAAGAAATCGCGCTTCATTTTATGCAGTATCAGTCGGCTCTGAGCAATCCTTAGCAAATCACTGGGATGAAAATTTTCTTTCCTTCGCCCCACATTCATTGAAAACATGAAACTCCTCCGCCTACATGAGCTCTCTTCCCTCGTTCGCAGGGCGGGCGATACAATCACCGTGATCGATACATCGGATCCGGACTGGTGGCAGGGCAAGTGTATGGGTAAGGTAGGCTTTTTCCCCTCCAAATACGTTGCCAAGCTTCACCCCGGGGAACGCGCGCTACAGGTTGTGCATCCCATCCAAGTCGCGGAAACGGGACTTCTGTCCGACTCGAGTGGCCCTTCCAGCGGATCCCAGCCGCCGCAACAACAGACGAAATTCGTGCGCGATCAGGTAGATGGAATCCCACAGTAGATACGCGATATTAAAGTGTGCATTCCCTGAGCGATCGCGGATATTCGTTCGATATCGTGTGACTGTGGAACACCTACAAGATCTTCCTGCGTCTCTTTACAGATCGTGATCCAAGTGGGAGAAGAATTGGAAGGTGGTCGTGTACTTGTGCGTACGGGGATGAACGACAGAGCGTTGCCTGTTCCCTTGAAATACTTGCAGGAGATATAGATCGCAACGAAGCTTAAAAGGGAGAATCGGATCTCCCGGTGCTCGAGCTACGGATATCCGAGAGACTCCGGCTCGGAGGTCCCCCTCGTTTATACTGCTGTTGTCATTTAATCGAGATTAGAATCACGATGCCTTGTAAGATGAATACTTCTCGGAAGTCCATCAGCGACAGAAGATGAGCATCAGGATGCCGAAATACAGTGCAAATGTACACGAGGATTCTCTGTTCGTGCGACGAGATCTCAACGACCCGTTAAATCGAGTACGGACATGATTTGTCCATCTGAGAGCGGCCTTCACGGCAAAGAGGGACTCGACCGTTGCTCATGTCCCAATTTGTCGATGACGAAGCGCGGTACGACTTCACTTTTCGCGCGATCATGAGGGGTCTCGTAGAAGTTGGATATTGTATAATAGGGTTACATGGAGTAATAATTTCCCTTGAGCGTCTCCCCACGCTTATCCAAATGGTGGCGACTCATCGTCGATGAATCGCTCAGCTCATGCGGAGCGAACGCGCTGTGCTGGTGCAAGCATAGCAGTTGATGTCATTGTGAGAGCTCGCACCTAGTTCTTCCACACGAAGGGGTAGGGTCAATTCAACTTCGCGGAACTCTCAGAACTGGAGAACTTCCGAACGACCTTTTTCTCTCACCCAGTCGATTGAGGCCTGTTGTGAATTAGCCTTCAGCGGCGAGCATAGTGTCCGATTCTCGGATGATGATCGTTATGTTTTTGGTGAGACTTGGAGGTCCCTCGACCGATATCGAGACTCGCTTTCATTATACATAGGTAGCCACCAGCACCGATCTAGACATAAATGTACCTTCTCGATGTTTGCGGAGAGTTTCACGCCAAGGAAAATCCTCCGAAAAATTCTCCGGAGTGGTCCACGGGGCGCAAGCTCTTGGTAATCGGCAGTGAAATTCGCTCAGTCAGAGCCGGTTCGTGATACGTAGCAGCTGCAGCGATGAGAAAGTCGACTAGAGTTTTCAAAAGGTCGCAAGAGTTTGCCTCGTACGGCATTCACAATGGCTGGTCGGAAGGACTGCGTCAATACGACGACAACCCGTTCTATAGCTATTCAACACCACTCAGAGAGTCAAGAATCTAGATCCAGCGGAACCTGGATGGGAACAAATCTGAATGGAGGCTTTTCCTTGCTCCCACCTCAAGCAGTGGCCCCCTCAGATCCACGCCAGTCGCAATTTCCCGACGTAGCACTTTGATGAATGATATCGAATATGTCCGAAAGAGTTTATTAACGGTAATCAGGACCTACTCCTCGGCCGAGGCAGCTTCCCCGGGAGAAAATCCGCGAAATAGCGTCCCTCATGATATAGAGAACCGACTGCGTCTCATCTGGAGCTCCGATTCGAGAAGCGGTATCCGGGAGCGTCGCCAGAACAAGGGAGACGTGAACCGGTGGAACGAAGTCGTTGAGCGGTCGAGCGAGCCTGAGAACCACAGTAGTACCGAGTACACGAGATTACATAGGACAGAATCTTGCACTTACCCCGAAATGACTTCCAAGTCGATCCTCAATAGCGCTCCAGCGCTCCCACACTACGTATCGTCCTGCGCCCATGCCAAACGTGTCTGTCTCTAGCTACGAATACGTCGAATTAGTGAGTCTATTTTTCCTTTCGCTGCGGCTGCGCTGCCGAAATCCGATAGGTAATGCAGGAGGGCAAAGTGGCCGTGATCGCCCATCGATGGTCCTGCAACGTACAGCTCGGATGTTTTCCGAAACGTTGAATGTTCGGTTGGGTATCCAATGAGATATTTAGTTGTTGCCTATGTATGTACGAAGGTACTAGCTTCTTCCATTTCCAATGTCACCTAAAGCGTACAAACGCTCCGAGAAGGATCAAAAATTGCCCCATTGGAAACTAGCAGAATCGCAGATGAAGAATGGCAGAATGAGGTACGAGAGTGGCGGAACGAGTAATTCCACTACGATTGATCTGATCACCGCATAGATGGAAGGAACTCTAGACATCGCATTTCATCAAATCACTAGTGGAAATGTGGTCATCGAGGACTGAACTCGAGAGAGGGCTCGCGAGGGAAGAGTGGAGAGTCCTTGGGAACGCGGGGGAATTATAGGCGGGAAGCGGAAATCAGGGATCCTAGGAAAAATATGATTTTAGACTCGAGCGTCAGTCCAGGGGCTCTTGAGAATATCCTACTACATACGCATCCGTTTCCGAACGCGATAGCTAATCAGAGACACTCGTGCGAGGCAATGTTTTCTCACCACGGAGCAGTGGAATCAAGTGATAGAAGACTGGACTTTCATATCAAACTGCTCAGTTTGATACCTATTCGAGAAGGACGTACCTATGGTCTTAGTTGAGTCTCTACCATACATTATTTATAAATATATCATCGAACAATGCAAATATCATGGCAGATCATCATCAGGCAGAGGTGTGGGGAGACAAGCGAGGATCAACAAGAGTAGCAACATCGAGATTGATAGACAGTAATCGTGCACTGTGAACTCTGATTCTAAACCTAATTATTACGGTTGAAGTCAATACAGACTATATGTTGTAGAGCCTCCACATGTTGTCTTCGTTCCTCCGATACCCATATCGACCGTAGAAGTGACTTCCCTCGCAGATTGCCATCAACATATCCAGGACTGCCGGTTTTGTACTGTCCCATGGCCGTCCATATGGTCCCTTGAGGTCTGGGAGTGGACAGAGCTAGCGCTCTCGAAGGAAGTTTTCTCGTGAGCTTTTTCGAGCAGAATTCTCCATGACGGAATCGTAGGAATTCCTTCTGCTCCGTCTCTCAACTTCGCGAACAAGAGGAATATTCAGCCATCTGTTGAGCACTGCCCAGTGTTGCACACTGGCTCACTCTAGGCTTCACCGAATGGTTAAAGCCATCCGAGGAATTTCAAGCTCGAAGCACCTGTCACGAGCTTCGCTCGCGTACCGACAGACGGCGCTACGGGCCGCGCGGTTCAGCCCGATGAGGAGCGCTTGGAACCAACAAACGGGAGTCCAGAACAAAACCTCATTCACTCGTTCGGTACAAGCGAGCGGAGAAGTGCTGGTAGTGTGCGCCGGTCTGTGGCAGTCGTGAATGGAATTGGCAAGTGTGGCGAGCTGCTGACGCCGCCGGGTCGTAGTGAAAAAGTGGACTAGCAGCAACTCTTCGGCAGACGACTTCGCCTCGGATTAATCGTTTAGGATCCAAGAGACATAGACCAGGTAAAGTTCTTCTTCCAGTGCAGAACGCGATTACTGATAGATGGCTGCGCTTACCGCATTCTAATCGCGAAGCTCTCTTCTATATCACTCGAGTTCGGTATATGCCTCCGCTCGCTCGTGTTGGTGGAGCTCTCGAGAAGACCTCGGACATAACCGTCCCGGAACACTTCTTCCAGCCATAGTCTTCGACGTTAACGAATCTCACGCCATACTACATTGTATTCGCTTTTTCGAACTCATTCATGCGGGATATACATAGACCTCGGTGTGCGAGATCGACGTCCCAATGCTGGGAGTAGCTGCCGTAGAGGCTGAGTTGTATTTCTCTAGAATTCACGCGTTCGAAGAACCTTGTCCCGACCGTTTCGACATGGGTTCATCGTCAATGCCGCTGTCGAGAAATATGACTGAAACCCTCGAGTACTCCGACTCAAGCATCGCCATCGGGCTGATTCGACTCCTCCTAATAGACTTGGTCATGTCGCGCCAGAACAAACTGACGGGCGAAACGGGGAGCACCCATGGATATGTAATTGACTCCAGGGGGAAGAAACAGACGGCCAGCAATCGATGAGGCTCGATCGCCTACTGGATCACGACGTAAGTCCGCTGGAGGACCGGGAAACGTTTTGGTTGGATGGGGAATAGATGTCGCGGAGCATCACCTCCTGTGGTCGCTATTTTTTTGGTACCGCCAGTTAGAGCCCTCCTGGGCCAGGGATTACGAAGCGGAACCTTTACCTTCTGAAATTCCCCCGTTTCTGATGATATTTTGCCCTCTTAGTTTAACGTCATCTCATACCTGCGCCTTGTCGCGAGTCTTTCCAGCTATGAATGAACAAGAGACAACGGGCTCTCTCTTTTCCATTCTCGCTGGCTGGCTGGTTGTCTGTCTACTCGGTCCCCTGATGGAATTGCGTCTCGTCTCTTTCAGATTTTCGTTCTTCTGAACAATGACAGCGATTTTGCTGCGGTTGCAGCGGTGCGAACTGCAGCGGTCGTTGAAGATTCACTCCACCAAGACACCCACCAGGGTTGCAGGTTTCTGACGATGTAAACATCACGACTCGTCAAATATTTCGTCTTTCTCGGCGCTGTCACCTTGCTTCTTTTGAGTGCCTTTCTGAAATGTATCCCTCATTTCCCCTAGTCTTCCCGTCATTGGACGTCTAACGATCCTTTCTCGGACGCTGGGGAAGGTCGTAGCCGACGAATTTGAGGCGGCGGCGGTGACTTCCTTCGTCCGCCCCTCCGTTGTCCATTCGATCGCTTCGAATTCCTCAGGATGCGTATCCGATGCGTGATCATCGAGCCACCAGTTACTCAAATATTTTTCACACACGAGCAGATGTTCTCACAGCACGATTACCTGTTGAGGAACTCCAGAGCAATGCAACAAGAGCCGCTCCTCCTGCGTGGAGCTTGCTCGAGTACACAGCCACAGCGATCTCGTAGACTGTCGTCCCCTTCATTTTCTCTTTGTACTAGAACGAATTCCTCTTTGTGTACCTGTCCTTTTTCCCGAGGATATTTTGCGTGAACGACAAGCATCCACCGGATCAGTCATGTGGCGAGCTCGATTCTGAGTGAAGGCTCCGGTTTCATTCTCCCGTAGCGGTCACCTCTATCGAACCGGATGAACGTACTCTCGCAATCGAAGAGAAGCCGCGGATCCCGGCGGCAACTCTCAAATTCATTCAGGATACGGTGTCGCTGTTTGTCGGGAGGCTTTTCGCGGAGCATATCCAGGGATCGAGCTCAAAATGGGTCTTG